AATAATAATAATAATAATAATAATAATAATAATAATAATAATAATAACAACAACAACAACAACAACAACAACAACAACAACCATTAAGGCTGATACAACAACAACAACAACAACAACCATTAAGGCTGATTCCCAGAATTCCAACTGATAGAGAGCATAGGCAAATACATACATAACAGGCGCGTTCATAACAATTGTCCAGCCCTTGCCAAATGAGTTTATTAATCTTGTTTTCCTCAGAATCTGGCTTTCTCAAAAATCCTGTGGGAACATGGACAGAAGTCCAAATTAATAGAGGAAGACTCTAGCATACAGCAGAGCAGAAAGTCGTTGGAGTGGCTAAATTCTGACTAAGCAGTTTATTTGGCAGGATATCCACCTGGCATCCTCTTTAGCTCAAGATTCAGAGACTTCCGTATTCCTAGGAAAAAGGGACAGATGGCCAACAAATATGTGGCTTTATGAATTCCTTGTTTTTCAGGGATTCAGACGTGAGGTGATCTTTAGTTCTCAGGAATCTGAATGGGCCTGGAAGTGGGGAATGAAATCATTTAATTGTTCCTGACAGTTAGAACAATTAATGAGTGGAACAACTGGCCTCCAGAAGTTGTAAATCAGAGGTCTCCAATCTTGGCAGCTTTAAGACTTGTGGACTTCAACTCCCAGAATTCCACCTCCAGTTACTTTTTAGCTCAGTAATTCTGGGAGCTGAAATCCACAAGTCTTAAACTTGCCAAGTTTGAAGACCCCTGTTTGTAAATGCTCCAACACTGGAATTTTAAAGAAGAGATTAGACCATCATTTGTCTGAAGAAGTATAGGATTTCCTGCCTAAGCAGGGGGTTGGACTAGAAGACCTCCAAGGCCCCTTCTAACTCTGTCATTCTATTCTATTCATTTATGGCTCTGGATCATATAATATCCTGTTATGATTTTCTTGAACAGGACATGTTTTGGTTATGATCTAGGAATCGCTGAGAATGCCCTCTCGTTGGCATTAATACATAGCAGAGCTAGGAGAAAATCTTCCTTCTCTGGATTGAACTATACCTCCCATCCAGTGGTGGGATTCAATTTTTTTTTTACTACTGGTTCTGTGGGCGTGGCTCGGTGGGCATGGTGTGGCTTGGTGGGCGTGGCTTCGGCATGACAGGGGAAGGATACTGTAAAATCTCCATTCCCTCCCCACTCCTGGGGGAAGGTGACTGCAAAATCCCCATTCCCTCCCCACCCCACTAACCTGCTTTCCAGCTCCGTTCTCCTGTGCAGGGCAACCAAAGGAGACCCAGCCAACCAGCTGGGACTCGGGAGGCAGAGAATAGATGTGGGCGGGGCCAGTCAGAGGTGGGATTTGCCGGTTCTCCGAACGACTCAAAATGTCCGCTACCGGTTCTCCAGAACTGATCAGAACCTGCTGAATACCACCTCTGCTCCCATCATTCCCATCCCACAGTGCTTTTGGCGAGAGTTGGGAGGACATTGTAGTCAAACATAACTATAGGTCATCCTCGACTTACAACAGTTCATTTAGCGACCGTTCAAAGTTACAACAACACTGAAAAAAATTATCTCATGACCTTTTTTTCCACCTTTTTACAACCATTGAGCCATCTCCATCAGATCACAGACTCTTATTTATGATGGTTGTAACATCCCTGGGACGCGTGGTCTCCTTTCTGAGACCTTCTGCAAAGTCAACAAGGAAGCCAGATTCTAACTTAACAGCTGCATCGATTCGCTTAACAATGGTGGCAAGGAAAGTCATAAAATGAGGCAAAATTTACTTTTAACAGTAGCCTTGCTTAGCAAGAGGAATTGGAGGCTCAATTGTGGTTGAACTTCGAGGACTACGTGTAGCGAGGTTAACAAAAGCTATTATAGCTAATAGCTATCCTCAAACATTGTTTTTATTTCATTTTTTCCCCTTCTGGTGGTTATCATATAAAGCTCCAAACCACATAAGTAGTCGAATCCCCCCCACCCCCAAAAAATAATAAAATTTATTGGAAACAAAAATACAGCATAGAAATTTGTCTAAAGAGGTTCACTATTAAATGTCATCCTCTCATTCTCTGTGTCAGGGCTCCGACTATCTACCCCCATTCAAATCATGAGTCTCTAGCCACATTTCTCAGAGTTTAAAAAAATCATGTATTAGGAGTGAACATGCCGGCGTTACCTGGGTGCAGCCGACTCTGAGAAATCTAACCCTTGACCCTGGTCTTCCCCCACCCCCTGGATGTACATTCTCCAATGGGACACATCCATAGCCATGAGTCATCAGTCATGCTCTCCAGTAATAATCTTGCCTGCCAGAAGCTTCAGTCGCCTAGAAATTATCTATGAAGCATTTAAGGAATGCACTACTTCCCTTTCTGCTGACAACTCTAAAAGACCAGAGAAATATTTTTGAGTTGACACTCTGTGTGTTAAGGAAGTATTCTGTTCTGACCCACACCCTTTTCCAACAAATCAAACACAATCCAAAGGGAACAGAAACTGTGTCAGCTGGTGCTCCGTTCAAAATCCAGGAAAGAAATACTTAGACTCTTGTAATTAGAGAAAAGATATCTTTTACTGGAAGTCAGTGGTAGCAACGAGAGAATTCTGAATCTGGGGAAATAGGCACGTACATCGCATATATCAAGGGAGTGAAATGTTCCCACCCCCAATAGTTCAAATGGTTCTTCCAATTAAAAGTTGTGAACCTCATCATGTGGACATCTTCAGGTGGTTATGATTAGTTGACCTTGGCTTAGTCCGATAAAGGTTTGCAGTTGCGCAGAGAAGAGAAAGCTAAGCAGGAATCAGAAACCCTCTCCAGTTTATACAATATCAGTTAGTAACACTTTCAGCTCACGTCCCATACATTTCCCCCTTCCACCCCCTGTTACTCATGACAGCCAGAAAGAAGCAAAGGAAAGGAGGAAGATCTTGAAGGCTGACAAACTGTTTAATGCTTCTGCAAAATAATTAGCTGTGATAAGAACAGGCCTTGCCAAACTGTGCGAGACTACCAAAATGTAACGGACAATAATTTGCAATACAAGTATCTTCAAATACAAACTCAGGATGCTGGAATGTCCATGAGGCTGGGGTTTCAAAATGTCTTTGCCTTCTGCAAAGTACGTTCGTTTCACAGCTGGCTTTTATTTTCTTGAAGAAGGGGCCATGACCTCGCAGCTTTACTCCCAAGCCGCCCATGCTGTTGTACCTGCTCTTTCCTATGAGCAATCCTGCGCCCATGCGCAATTGGCATAGGCTCCTTCGGAACCTCCTCATCGCTGCTGCCAGCCCCCACAATCTCTGAAGGCAGCAGTCCACTCCCTAACGGTCCTGGCCCCTCATCTGAGTCCTTGCTTTCCTCAGCCGTCCACACCTGCTGCCAGCTAACCACAACATATTCAAGGGCAGCCCCTGCAGATCAGATTTTTAAGAGCTCATCATCCACAGAGCAGTGCCTGTTTTTCAACAATTATAGGGAATCAGGTATTTAGATAGCAATCTGCTCTGCCTATCCCTAGACGACACCGGAGTAAGCTTCCCAAAATTCAGACAGAGATTTCATGCGGATTTGATGCTTCTGGAATATCTCCACTCATTTTGTGTCTTCCTGGCAAGAGAATTTTTTTTTAAAAAAAGTCTACAGGTAGTCCTCGTCTTACGACCACAATTGCACTCAAAAAAATTTGTTGGTAAGCGAGACATTTCGCTAAGTGAATTTTGCCCCATTTTACGACCTTTCTTGCCACCGCTGTTGAATGAATCACTGCAGTTGTTAAGTCAGTAACATGGTTATTAAGTGAATTTGGCTTCCCCATTGACTTTGCTTATCAGGAGGTCGCAAAAGGGGATCACATGACCCCCAGGGACACTGCAACCGTCATAAATACGAGTCAGTTGTCAAGTGCCCAAAGTTTGAACCCGTGACCATGGGAATGTTGCGATGGTTGTAAGTATGAAAAAATGGTCCATTGTAACTTTGAACTATCACTAAATAAACTGTTATAAATCAAGGATTCCCTATACTACATACATTCAATTTTTGGGCCTGTTTGAGGCAGTTTTTGCCCTCCCAGAGGCTCAAGGGAAGCCTCTGCAGCCTCGCGTAGCCGAAAAACAGGCCCGTTACCAGAAGTGGCAAAACGGGCCCGTTTTTCAGCCTCCAAAGCCTGCAGAGGCTTCCCTCGAGCCCCCGGGAGGGCGAAAATGGCCTCCCCCAGGTTCCAGAGGCCCTCCGGAGGCTGAAAATGGGCACTTCCAGTATTTCCAGAAGGCCCATTTTTCAGTTCCTTTGTAACTTTGAACCATCACTAAACAAACTGTTATAAGTCAAGAACTACCTATACTAACATCTTCTCTTGTCATAAAACATCCACTATCACTTGGTAACCTGAAATAGGGGGTGTGTGGGGAAATCCATGTGATAAAGTGCAGAATTTATTCCAAATGGAATTAACAGAATATCTTATTTATTTATTTATTTGGCCAATGATGCCTTTATTATATAATTTTTTAATAATAAGTTTTGTTTTTATTTTTTCAGTTTCAAAAATACATACTTTCCTTCTTTTTTTTTTTTTCAAGCAGTGTGTCATCCGGGCACAAACATAGAACATAGAATAACAGAGATGGAAGGGACCTTGGAGGTCATCTAGTCCAACCCCCTACGCAAGCAGGAGCAAATATTAGCCTCTACCTGGGACTCCTTTGTGCTACGTTTTCCACCATTTACAACTTTTTCACCTTCACATTAATATTATTTCTCTAAATTTAGAATTAAGATACATCAAACATCTAAACAATATACAACTCTTCTGGTGACAGTACCATATTAACATGACATAGCTAAATATTTTCTATAACAAAAAAAAGTGGGGCAGATTTTCAGTAGATTGTTTTGCTCTGTTCCTCTCCACGTTAATAGATGGTCGAGCTGCCTTCCATGCTTTTTTGAAATCAGAATTCAGTGAAGAGAACCTCGACTTTTGGTTGGCCTGTGAAGATTATCGTAAACTCCGGGGATGTGTCAAACTCCAGGAAAGTGCAAAAAAGATTTTTGACCAATATATCACCATACAAGCTCCAAAAGAGGTAGGGGAATATTAAAGTTTCCTTTGAATTTGTGAAATGGGATGGATTTGTTAGAGAAAACCATTATTCCATGTTTTGCATTTATCAATACACATATGTTGCCACAGAGTTCATAACAGAACAACAGAGTTGGAAAGAACCTTGGAGATCTTCTAGTCCTCAAGCAGGAGACCCTATACCCGTGATGGTGAACCTATGGCACATGTGCCATAGGTGGCAAGCAGAGCCATTTGTGCAGGCACGTGAGCTTCAGGCAAACTTACCTGCGCATGCACTCCCGCTGATTTTCGACCCGTTTGAAGCAGTTTTTGCCCTCCCAGAGGCTCGAGGGAAGGCTCTGCAGCCTCGGGAGGCCGAAAAATCAACCCATTTTGGCACTTCCGGTAATGGGCCTGTTTTTTTGGCCTCCAAAGCCTGCAGAGGCTTCCCTCAAGCCCCCAGGAGGGCAAAAACGGGCTCCCTCAGGCTCCAGAGGCCCTCTGGAGGCTGAAAATGAGCACTTCCAGTATTTCCGGAAGTTGGGCCTCCCAAGGCTGCAGAGCCTCCGGAAAGCAAAAAAAGGCCTCAAACGGGCCGAAAATCAGCTGGGAGGCGCATGCATGCACAGTGCAGGTAAGGGGGTGGGGGCGTTGCACGCACATGTGCAGGGGGGGCGTATTGTATTGTGGGTGCTGGCGCATGCACGCTTTCGGCCCACCACAACAAAAAGGTTCGCCATCACTGCCCTATACCATTCCAGACAAGTGGCTGTCCAGTCTCTTCTTAAAAACCTCCAACGATGAAGCGCCCACAACTTCTGAAGAGAAGCAATTCCACTGGTTAATTGTTCTCACTGTCAGTAAGTTTCTCCTTAGTTCTAAGTTGCTTCTCTCCTGGATTGGTTTCCACCCATTATTTCCTGTCCTGCCTTCTGATGCTTTGGAAAACAAATTGACCCCCTCCTCTTTGTGGCAGCCTCTCAAATACTGGAACACTGCTATCATGTCACCCTTGGTCCTTCTTTTCTCTAGACTAGACAAACCCAGTTTCTGCCACTGTTCTTTGCATGTTTTAGCCTCCAGCCCCCTAATCATCTTTCTTGCTCCTTTCTGCATTCCCTCATAAGTATTACCTCATATATAGGCGTCACAAATCTTTGCATTCATCATTTGAACAGATTTTTTTTCTTATTCTTTTCTTAGAAAGGTGCTTTTCTTTTTGTAGTAATCCAGAGAAAGAGGTGTGTCTTGTACCAGGCCAAATACCACACAGGACAAATCTATCTATCTATATATAAAAGTGAAATATCACTCACGCATCATCACATAATCTCCAGAACCGTAAAGCCCACAAACTTGAAATTTGGCACGTTTGTTCCTCTTGGCTTCTAGGTGCTCACTAAGAATGGATTTTTCTAAATGACCATGAGAGCATTAGTATTTCATATATTATTATTATTATTATTATTATTATTATTATTATTATTATTATTA